AAGAGGTGAAGGAGCCTGACGTTGGCTTCTCGGTCTCACTGAGTGTGTCGTTATTTTCATATCCCAGGGGAAGCACCCTGGCAAAGCCATCTCCGCTTTCCGGAGTTGCAGATGCGCTGTCCCACCAATATGGCTGGGGTGTAGTTTCATAGTCACTGCTGTTAACATCAGGCCAACCAGAAGAAATGTTGCCAGAGGGAATTTCAGGAGTTTCATCTGTAAAATGGAAGAGTTTGTCTCTTCCCATGGTATCGTGTGGCCTCATGAAGGATTCCTCTGGGAAACTGCCACTCTGTTCTTCCCAATTGTTTTTGTTCAAGTTTATAATATGAACCGAGATGTTTCGAGGTGGATAAGGGGCTGTAAGAGAAAGATACATTTTCTTTAAATTTTCAAGTAATTTTTAAACTCTATTATAGTGAATGCATAATCTATTCACAAGTCAGATACGCAGGCAGATTTACAAAATAGAGTTTAGTTTAACTTCTATATGTCTATGTTCTCATTTATATCAAGAACAATTGTGGTTTCCAGTACACATACATCTAAGATTTTGTGAGTGATGGGTTGACATTTGTATACCACTAGTCACAAACTAGTGTACCACCAGTTACTTTAACTTATGATATACTATGCTTGTCCAAGTGGTAATTTATGGCTTTACTCCTCACCTCTCTACAATAGAAAATATGAGCACAAAATGTGTTTATGAATTATGGGAGCATACTTTTCTAGAAGTAGACAATTATGAAGGCACATTGTATGGTCTTTACCTGCAATAATTTCCACCTATTCTTCAAATAGCAACTGAAATATCACCTCTTCCATGAATGTCTAATGAAAGTTAATCTCTCCCTCCTTTTGGTTCTTATATAACTTTATACCTTTTTTTATAACATTCCTTGCATGCTGCCTTTTAGAACATCTACCATTTTTTTAACTTTTTATTGATTAAGGTATTACAAATGTGTCTTTATCCCTCCATTGTCCCCACATCCTCCCAGTCTTGCCCTCACCTTCACCCCCTGTTGTCTGCATCCACTGCTTATGCTTATATGCATGCATACAAGTCCTTTGGTTGATCTCTCTCCCTTACCCTCACCCTCCCCTACCTTCCTTCTGAGGTTTGAGCAACTGATCGATGCTTCTCTGTCTCTAGATCTGTTTTTGTTCATCGGTTTATGTTGTTCATTATAGTCCACAAATGAGTGAGATCATGTGATATTTATCTTTCTCTGACTGGCTTATTTCACTTAGCATATGCTCTCCAGCTCCATCCATGCTGTTGCAAATGGTAGGAGTTCCTTCCTTTTTACTGTGTGGCATAGTATTCCATTGCATAGATGTGCCAAAGTTTCTTAATCCACTCCTCTGCTGATGGGCACTTAGGTTGTTTCCAAATCTTATCTATAGTGAATTGTGCTGCTATGAACATAGGGGTGCATATGTCCTTTCTGGTTGGTGTTTCTGGTTTCTTGGGATATAGTCCTAGAAGTGGGATCACTGGGTCACCCATTTTTGAGGACAGGGAATCTTTCTCACTAGTTTCTGTCTTCCTCTCAGTACTTAGAACAACTCCCAGGTAAAAGGATTTCAATTAATGTTTCTTAACTTGAATTGAATAATTAAAAATACAAATAGAATCTTAGATGTTGACATGAGTTAAATTATATAGTTTCCTTGTCTTGGCCTAATTAATGAGAATCATGACAACTTACAATTTTAGATTGGAAGGGCCTCAGGGGTGATCTCATATAAGCTATTCCCAATGTTCATATGAATGGACTCTCCAGCATTCCTACTGAGTGAGTACTTAGGCATGCCAGGCACAGACAATTATATTGTCTAATTATATTAGACACTTATGTTGGTATTGGTAATGGATATTTAGTAGGTATATATTTGTTTTAACCATCTAGTCTTTCACCCATCCATCCGTTCCGTCATCCATCCACCCATCTATCCATCATCAATGCATCCATCCCATAATAGTGTTGTATATTAGTTACACTACTAAAATTAAACACTACAAGTTTTAGATACATCTGAATCCCAATATTCTCCTTTAATAATCTAAATGTCTGTACTCAAACATCTTCCATCTGTTTTTCTGCTTTATGGGCCTATAGAATAAGTGATGTCTATTTGATCCAGTTAAGTTATTGAATTCTAACTTTTGGTTGGATTGTGTACCTTTTAATTTAAATATTATACATCTATGATTACACTGACATATTTTAGAGTTTCCTTATTGAATATTTTGCTAGTTTCCTTTTACACTGATAGAAAATTTGTTTTAGATTATTTAAATACTTTTTAAAAATACATTTTTACTGATTTCAGAGAGAGGAAGGGAGAGAGATAGAAACATTAATGATGAGAGAGAATTATTGATTGGCTGCCTCCTACACACTCCCTACTGGGGACAGAGGCCATAACCCTGGTATGTGCCCTTGACCGGAATTGAACCTGGGACCCCTTTGTCTGGAGGCTGATGCTCTATCCACTGAACCAAATTGGCGAGGGATGTTTTAGATTATGAAAAATATGTATTTATTTTTTCCTTAGCTCTGGAATAGAATTTTTCTTAGGATGATAAAAAGTACACATACAACATATAATTTATTACTTTTTTTTCAGTAAATATAAATTTTCAGAACTTACCAGTTCTATGCTGTTTGGGTTCATGACTGACACCACTGTACTCCACGAGAGTACTTTTATTAAATGTTGCCTCAGATACCAGCTGAAAGGTAATATTACTATAACATATTCCTGGCAGCCAATGATTAAATACTGTTTTTCCCTTAAAGAAATCTGGGAAGAGAAAAAAATCAATTATATTAAAATATTGAGCTTCTAAATGACACATACTTTTAGGAAGTTCTAATCAAAATGATTAAATATCAATAAATAGTATTTCTTTCAACTTCTAGCATGAAAGTAATAAAAATTTAGCATAAGGTTAGAGATGAAAATCTGAATTTTTAAAGTCAGTCCTGAAAAGATTTTTGTGCAAGAATTGGGTATAACTGAAGTTGAATTTTGATCCCAGGAACACTTGGTGTATTAAGTAGAGAACATGTACAGAAGTTGTGGAGATTAGGTTTATATTAGCTGTTTACTTTACGGTGAAAACTAAAGGTATTTTGTCACTTTATGACTTAGAAGAAGTAATTTTTGCAAGAGATGTTTTCTCTAGGCTCACTTGTAAAAACTAGTGTATTTTAAAAGTAGAATGGTTTTATCTGACAGCTGCAGATAGAACCTGCTCAAAAAGGAAAAAAAAAAAAAAGAACTTGGAATTCATTTGGATTTAATTTAGAAAACATTAAAGAAAATAACAAATTTAGAAATCCAGTCTAAGTTAGAAAGAAATTAGAGAAGGAAATTAAAAATACCACTAATGAAATTAAAAGCCAAAAATAATTTCAAAGTTAATTGAAAAAAGAGACCATATTCACTTATTTAAAAACTCATGGCTTTTATCTCTGCAAAAGTTCCAGTGACTGCTTTTAAGCCTCTCATGATCTTGCACTTGCGTTGTAATAATAAACAAACAAGGCCCCACTTATTAATTTGCAGATAATGTTTTCATTGAAAATAAAGAATGCAATAACTTGCGGAATCTATGTTTACGCTTATTTAAATGTTTTAAAGTTTTAAAAAACTGAAAAAATGCACTGTGTATTTTCTAAACAGTGCTTCATTTAAAAAAGAAGAAGTCTATGGAAGAAAGGAATTTGTAAAAGCAGCAAGTTAAAATGATACCTTTCTAGACACCATGGACACCATGACCTGTGTGCTTCAATATGCATTCCCACCTCACCAATACATGTTTCCAGTTACAACCAGTCAACTTTGACACCATCATTTAAGCAGCCCGGGCAGAGAATTGTTAGGGTCTGGGCCAGGGAGGAGCCTACAACCAAGGTACATGCCCTTGATTGGAATCGAACCCAGGACCGTTTAGTGTGCAGGCTGAGTATTCACTGAGCTAAACCGGCTAGGGCATGTCCTGAGTATTTAAATTCCTCCACTTTGATTCACCTCCAGTGAAGCCGAATGCCCTCTCTCCTTCTCTCTCTCTCTCTCTCTCTCTCTCTCTCTCTCTCTCTCTCTTTCTTTCTCCATCCTAGCCCACCTCCTAGACCACCAAAGTCTACTGAGAATTTGGCTTGATTCTTTTGAAATTATTAATTCTCCTGGGCTCTCTTCTTTCTCTCTTTTCCCCACAGGAAATAAATTCATGTTACCTTTGGCAAGAATAACATGACAATAATTTGAGTATTTCTTATGCTTATGCATGAAACATGACTTTAATGAATCAAATATTCTAAGACTCCTCATCACAAGATTGCCATGAATAGATACTATTTTAATGATTTATTTATGGTCAAATAGTGAACTATAAGATTTATTTAGAGCAAGGGTGAAGACCATTTGGCAAAAATCATGTAAATAGTAATAATCAATTATCATTTATTCATTCTTTCTTTTGCCTCTTACCTTTATATAACATTGTCCGGAAGTCTTTACCTTCCCAATAGCTTATGTTTACTCTTGTGAAGACATTATATTTTTCTGGATAATGAATTTCAAAGAGGACTCCTGTTTCAGGTGAAGGTTTATAGTCATATATTGAAACACTAGTTACAGGTAGAGGTTCTGCAGAAAAAGAGTAAATGAAGAAAGGGAAATGGGGCAAAGGGAGAAAGGCCATTATCCATACTTGGGAGTACCAAGGAGTGTGCCTATCAAGACTTTACACATATTTTTATCACCTGCGACCACGAAATTCCTCAGGACACATGAGCTGAGTGTTCTCCTTAGCAGTAACTAATAAAGTACATTTTATAGTGTTTCCTGCCTTTCAGATAACTTTGATATTTATTTTTCTATTTGCCTGAATCTAAGAAGAACAAACAAAACATAAAAATAATAACTCAGAACCTTCAATTTACTCGTCAAAGAAAATTTAACAAATGTGTGGCAGAAGCTATATCTCCAGATTCCTAGTTCAGTTTTCTCTACCCCCAAGCCAATAAAATTTGATATTAATAACAGAGCAGTAACAGAAAATACATCTGACTCTGACCAAGCGTAAATGCTCACATGAGCATTTATTTCTTTGTGTAAACTTAGCACTTTCTTTCTACATTGAGTATAAGATTGAAAACCATCCTATGTTGTGATAATTAGAGTTTATGGTGCTTATCAAACTACTCTTTCTATGGAAGTTTTAAGTATGTTTATTCCTATTTTGTTCAAGTTGTTAATTCATCACAAAACTTTTTAAATACTTATTTTTAAAAAAACTGTGGTTGGTGTATGTCTGTATTTCCTCTGCATCCCACTCTTCAGCATAAGCTTTGTAAAATGAGAGTTCCCCCATACAGCTAAAGGAACTATTGGGTAATTTTTACTTGAATAAAATTTATTCAAGAAAATTTAAAAAATAACTTGGTTTGTAGTCAACTATTGCAGTATAGAGAAAAAAACCCACTTTGGTTCAAAGTTTTAAAAATACAGAGGAATTTTAGACATAACCTACAAACTAAAGGAAAGCAATATCCTTAATTTAAATTTTACATTTTTTAAAATTTCAGTTTAATGAACATAGGGAACCAAAGAAGACTTAGTTCATTTGACAAGTAATTTATGGAGTTCCTACTTTGTCTCAGTATGTAGCTAAATAGCTTCCCTTTTGTTGCTAGGTATCTTAACCTGCTTTGCTTTGCTTTTGATTGAAGAGAGCCAGGAAGGACTGAAATCACATGTTAAAGCCATGATTTTCCCTGGCATTTTCTTAAAAAAACAAGCCAACATCTATAAACCTGTAAAGAGGCCTTTAGATTGCAGCATGTAGTGTGCTCATTTCAATGTAGACTATGAGCTATATTCTCTGTTAAAATGTTTCTATTTTATCTTTGCCCCCAACCCTGGTCTCCCCACTAATGGTAGCAGTTACAGAATGAACTCACTTCAGTGTCATGTAAACAAACAAAAACACCCTCCCTCCTGAAGACTGTTTCCCGTTGATTAATCCCAAAGAAGTCTGGAGCCATCTGAAGGTGTTTCTTTCAGCCCAGTCTAATTACTAACCCGGGGAATCTACCAAGCCCAGCTATTGGCTCTGGATCTGAGAGAAACAAAATGAAAGCTCTCAGCAGAAAGCCGCCACAGAGCAGTAACTCTGCCATTGCTGCGGCCCCGTTTCACATTCTCACCCGGTTCTGTCCACTGAGCAGAGAGATGGGGTCCACGCAGTCTTTCCTGACCTGAGATATGAAGTCTGCACATCAAAGTACATGCAAACTTTGAAATTCAAGGTGCAGATGAGGATTAGAGCACAGATATTTTATTTTGTGATTTGTTGGGTTGCAGGCCACTTGAATCTTAAACTAAGAGAATTTTGTAAATGCCCACATACATGTTTGCTTCTTATATTTCTCTCAGCTTCAGCACAAGTGACTCAGGTCAGTTGTCTATTCTAAAGTCCAAGCCCAGGCATTACTGACCCATATTCAATCCAAGAATTACTGCTTTCAATGGAACTCAAATGCATTCTTTAAAAATATTTTACTATCTTATTATTATTATAAAGTAATAGCTATTATTATTATAAAGAGCCATAAACCAGAGCTGCTATTACTGTGTGTTTTTCAGCGATGACAAGGTTAAATCTTGATTTAATTCTTTATTCCTTTCTCTGTAGACACACTCTCATTTCTTGTCTTAGAATCCAGGCTGTACTAGACAGAGAAATGGAGTTATTAGCCAATGTAAATTATTTTTAACATTTATTTGTTCGTAGATTGAGGTCTAACCTCTCTGGCAAAGTATTCTAGGTTGTTTCCAATTTTCCTAGCCACCCTTCCTGTTACTCAGCCTGTGATCTTAACTCCATGCAGTTCACAGGTGTGCCGTGCTATGCATGCCTCCACTCTGCACATAATTCCCTTTCCCTCTGTAACACTTTACATTCTCTATTCATTTGACAAATTTGCATTAATTTTTCAATGATTGTATGTTTCTGTGGTATCTCTCCAATGTTCTTTAAGAAGGCTAGGCACTCTCTCTTACATCATTCATGGATAGCATTTATCATATCTTGTAATGGCTTGTTTTCCACTTTAGTATACCACCGTTGAGTATGGGTATTTTTATTGATTTTTATTTCTCTGGCACCTAGGACATGGCATCGAGAACGTAAGCAATAAATAAGGCAGAAGCTCATGAATTATTTTTATTTATAGTAGATGGGTAGAATTTGGGTAGAATTTCATATTTGTAGAGTGTTTGTGTGTTTGATCTATCTTCAGCTGAGGATATATTTCCCCAATCTCTGAACAATTGTTCTTCTGTACCACTTGATCTATTGAGAAACGAATTCTTCTCTCTAAAGTGGGCACAACATACTGAAAGTTCTCCATCAGTTAAATATTAATCAGATGTCAGAGTCTAAGTGTTGTGAAACTCTTTTGAACTGGCCTAACAATGTGTTTGTGCTAAATTTATTCTTTGCCATGTTTCTCAGCTTTCTCAGAGAGCGGCCAGACTCAGAACAACTACAGAGAAATATCAAAGGACTGCCCAAGGGCCAATGCTTTGTCATTGCTTATTTCGTCAAGACAGTAAATGACTGCAACAAAGGTCCCGTTTTATTCTCAAGAGCAATGTGTCAATTCTGTGAGTAGATACTACAAATGTTTCCTCAACTTTTAAGGAAAGCTTCTCATTAGAAAAAATAAAGATAGCAAAATTACACCACCAACTAACAAATAATGATCATTTTAGAGCTCAAAATTAATCTTAGTCAACATGTATTTGAATTCCCTCTTTTTTTTTTGAGGAGAAAGCTGAACCCCAAATGTTACCTCATGCCTAATGTCATAGAAATATTTGTGCATCAATACACAGTTTTTATATTCCCAACCTATGATCTCTTTGGAAATCTGAGATGATGTAATTGAGCCTTTAAAAATGGGACAGAAGAAGAGAGACTGAAACCATATTTTGTTTTACTTTTTAGCAATCAATGCCAGTTTCCTTTTCCACTTTATGATGTAGAAAGCTGCAAGTCAATCTCATTTCCTGACACCCAACAACAAGAAGAAAAAGCAAAATAATTCATGAGATCATAACTTTCCTGGCATCTCTCAGAGAGGTGAGATTGCAAGGCAACCAAACCAAGTAAATTGCAGAGTGACAAGCCCTCTGAGGACAGAAAGGACACAAGGTTTTACCTAGTGGAGCATGGCAGGAAGAGTTCAAGCAGAAAAGAAGAAAGCAACTAAGATTTCAATGAATTAATAAGGATGCATATGTTCTCAATGACAGTTTAGAACTGCTCTGTCCAGGAAGTTAGTTACTAACCACTTACGGCTATTTAAATTACACTTATGAAAGAATCATTCAAAATGAAATAAAATTAAAATTAGTGGCTACTGTACTGGATAATGCAGATATAAAACATTCCCATGTCCCCAGAGTTCTAGGACAGCGCTGGTTAGAATGACCGGGAGGCCCAGACACAAGTTGAGTCCATGGTGTCTCTCCAGCTCTTCTCATGGGCCTTTATCAGGTGCTCATGAGAAATACTGAGGGCAAGAGAGCCACCCTCTGGGGCACAGGCATGTAGATGATGATTGGGCTACTTAAAGATCTGGGAGAAACCCTTTCTTAATTCCCAGGACCTTTCTTGAATACAAAACACAAGCCGTAAGGCATTAGGGAGGGGCAGAAAGATCTTTCCCTCCCAGTTTTCAGGCAAAGATACCCCATTTTAAAAGATATCATTTCCCAGGAGAGGGGCAGAAACTTTCTTGGACTCACTGTTCATGCACTGATACAGAGTCGAGTTCTGCTACCAGGGAGAGGAAGGAAAGTCTCAAGACCTTCCCCAGCTTTAAGGTAGACTTTGGAGGCAAGGGTTAGGGATGCTAAGAATGCCTTACTTAGGTTCACAGGGACTGATTAAGGCTGAGGCTGGACCAAGAGAACCAAATCCTCCCCTGCTCCCACCAAAATCTTAGCACTAGTAAGAAGCCACAGCAATCCATTGTTAGGGGAGGGGCAAAATCATGGAGCCCTTCTGTGGTGCAGGTGGGTGGGGCTCCCTGAACCCCAAGTCTATAACTGGAGACTGAGAAATCCCCAGAACCATTACTGGCACTCCCTCTGGAGGACTTTGAAATCCGTGAGCTAATGGTGACTAATGCCTTAAACCCAGTTCAACTGAATTGACTCACCCCCACACTAACAGCTTGGCATTTCGGTAGGGTTAAACTTAACATTGTAAATAATTACATTAAATGTAAATGCTCTAAACTTGTATTATCAAAATTGGTAGCTGTTACCTACATAAGGCTATTGAGCATTCAAAATGAAGCTAGTGTAACTGAGAAAACACATTTTTTATTTTATTTCATTTTAATTAATTTTTGTTTAAAATGGAAAAAGTGTTATTTTGTTTTTATATTGATTATGTTAAAATAATATTATTAATACAATGGATTACATTATGTTTTTAAAATTAAGTTCACCTTTTCAAAAAGTGTTTACATTTTTGTACCTGAAAATTTATGGCTGTGTGATTAACATCCTAT